GAATGGGTGAGGCTGTCAAAGGATAGAGAGTGTGTGAGGAAAGGAGGGGGTGTCTCCTAGACAATCCTAGGAGAGGATGTCCCATCAGCAGTTTGTTTCTCCCCTTTCGCCCTCTCTCCCTGCTCACCATTATCTGAATTTAGGTCTTCATTTTGTCTCACCTGGATGTAGCAATAGCCTGCTAATCCAGTGTATCTCAGGTTTTTGGGTGGGTTTCTTTTGGAGAGGTTTTTGCTGTCAGGTGTGTGCGCTCACCAGAAAGACAGACAGAGACAGAGAGACAGAAAGCGAGAAATCACCCCCTAGGGGGGATGGTCACGCCACAATCCCTTCTCCGTTTTTCCATTTCTTCAGGGTCTTTGGCACACATGCACACACGCACACATGCACACATGCCCAGTGTGTATTTCAAGCTGCCAGGTCTGAGACTTGAAGACCTGGTCAGCCACATGGGATCCAGCTCATTTAACCACCAGGTTATGAGACTGCCCCAGTGTATCTCAAATTTTAATGTGCACACGAATCACTCCAGGTAGGGTTGATTTTGATAAAATGCAGATTTTATTTCAACAGACCGTGGCTGGAGCCTGGGAGTCTGTCTTCGTTCCTTCCTCCCTCCCTCCCTTCCTCCCTCCCTCCTTCCTTCCTTCTTTCTTTCCTTCTCTCCCTTCCTTCCTTCCTTCCTTCCTCCCTTCCTTCCTTCCTTTCTTTTTGCCAGGGGATGTATGCAAAGGCTGTGGGAAGAGAGAGGGAGAACCCCTAGGGGGCATGGTTACACACAACCCCTTCTTCAACTCTCCTTCCTTTCAGGATTTTGGGCACGCACCCATGCGCACACACCCCATGTGTTTTTCAAAACTCTGGGTCCAGTACTTAAACCATGTGGTCAGCCATATTGATCCAGCTTGCTTAACCACCAGGCCACACGCTAGTCTGGGATTGTGCATTTTTAACGACCCCTCAGGTGATATGAGCCATCTTTGGAGCAGCAAGAGGGACTGGCACTTGGAAGCACAGGACAAGCATCCTTGAGCCTCTGCTCAGGACGGCCAGTCATCCAGTGACTCCTCCAGCAGCTAGTCATCGCTCGCCACATAACCACATTCAGGGTCTGCTCCTGCTGTTGCCGGCCAGCCTTTGCCTACTCCCTCTGCTCCTCTTCATCCACCCAACCGGGCTGCGCACTCTGAAGTTTTCCGTCTCTTTCTCTTGTAGTTCAGACAAGAGCAGAGACCAGTTCAGCTTGCTCTCAGGTGGAAGGATTCTGCAGCGGTCTTCAAACTTTCCCACCTAAGATCCTCCCTAAAACAATTTCATACAACTTTTTACCCTCTCACATTTTTTATCATACATGTGCAGAAGATGTCATTTCCAGTACATTGTAAACATGACTATTTTAAAGTAAAACGATGATGTCACTGTTTTAAATTTATCTAGTGGAATCTTTTTTTTTTTTTTGGAGAGGTTTTCGCTATAGGGTGCGTGCGCTTGCCAGACAGACAGAGAGAGACAGAGAGAGAGAAAGTGAGAAATCACCCCCCAGGGGGGATGACCACGCCGCAATCCCTTCTCCTCCATTGTCCTCTCGGGATCTTGGGCATGCACGCACACGTGCCCGGCGTGAGTTTAAGCCACTGGGTTCGAGACTCGAACCGCGGTCGACTACGTGGGAGTCCAGCGACATAGCCATTGCGCTAACTGCTGGTCCCTTGAGTGGAATCTTAAACGCTACAGCGATTTGATATCTGCCATAACTAATGTTAACGATGCATGAGCGCACTCCTCTTTAGTAGTCAGCGTTCCTTTTTCTCCTTGAAATTGTATTTCTATTTCACTTCTCCATGGAATTTTATCCTCATGTACTATATGTAATGTACTTTTATGTTTACAACTCTTTCATTTCTTTCCCT